CCCCCCCCCCCCCCCCGCTTAAAGGCCCTGATTAGGAACTATTAAAATTATGGTAAAATTGACCCCTGTTCTCGGAATATAAATCGAAACAGTCATTTACTTTATGTACTGATAAGATAAACACCGAGAAAAACAGCGTCCGAGGGCATTATCTGCCATAAATCCCGACTTTCGACTTAATTCTTGATGGAGGAGGTTTTCCAACAAAGTTTTGTCTGTTTCGTCTGCTTTGAATGACGATTTTCGCTTCTCTTTGAATGACGAGTTTACCTTCATCTTTTCAGCTAATTAATATTCAAGGTGATTGTTAAAAATAGTCACCTCGGTACATGAAAGAAAACCGACTCGATCGAGAATTAAACATACAAAATAACTGTAAATGTAATGGCGGTAACAGGCGGTCTCGAATTTAACGAGATTATAGCCTAATATCAAACTGGTAAACGTTCCCAAAATTGCAAGAAGAACAACCCAATTGCCCAAGCGTAAACAATGTGAGCTGTGCTCTTTTGCCTAAAACATGCAGAATAGTTAAAACAAATTCCGGCTACAGCTCACCCTGGATTCCAGAGCCTTCGACAGTAAATAATAAATTGAAACGTCGCGAAGGCTCAGGTTCAACGGGAAGATTCTTTGATTAAACCGCGCCAATCACAAAACAGAATTACTGGTTTTAGTACAGATTCTGTAAAAAAATTAGTAGTTTCTCGTCCCCGCCCGCATCCTTTTTCCTGCCGCATGGATTTTTCTTTTTTTTTAATGTTTTATATTCGAGCCTTTCAAAGAATTTCCACTTAGTATATTTCGGCCATTTTGTTCCTTTCGGCATAGTTCGGTTGCCGTTCGAAAATTTTCGTCAACTCTAGCTTGCTGTTCGGTGCTTCGCGCCCGCTGTTCGCGCCATATTGTTATTTTGGCGCCATATTGCATTAGTAGCTGTTTGTCTATTTTAATCCTTTAAATCCGTTAATAACTTTAAATTTAATCCATTAAATCCGTTAATAACTTTAAATCCGTTTAAATGTTACTTATGAAATAACCAAATAAATAAAGCAGCATAATTTAGTGTTCCGCAAGTTTTAGTATGCATTTGTTAACTTATTTGTAAAATATTTAAAAAATAGAAGGATTCAAAGTTTTACGTGCGTACGAAAAACGCAACAGTGGAAATCAGCCTTAAGACATTCATTCTCCGAATTTTTTTACAGTAATTTGGGAAACAACGCCTGCAATTATATAATTATTGTAAGTGGATTCTACGTTAAAACAGTTTAATTGGCCGGTGCCTATTAAGGTCCCTTGTCTTTGAGCTCATTGCTTCGTCACTGAGAAGACTTACAGGTTAATTATAAGTGGTGGGCCCTGTCTCCATTAATAAGAGGCAAGAACGAGGGTTTGTTGTTAGTTCAGTTCACCAGAAGATAGCGAAGGCAGGAGACACGACGGGATTTCAAACACGAAGATCTCATAAACAGGGCAGATCAAACCACATATCAAATTTATTTACCTCACTTTGAAAATTCAGCTAGAGAAAGCTAAAGAAAACGAGTTCAGTACAAGACTACGAACACATTTCAGAAGGCAGTGAAACCACGAGATATGAAACACGAAGTTTGAAGAGATCTGATCGAAGGCAGATTTGAAGAGCTCCCAAAACGACAAATAGAAGTCCTTAACACTTAAAGATAAAATATACCTTAAAGATAGAGGGACCAAAAGAAGCCCTCGTTGAATAGAGAAATAAAAAACTCGAGATAAAGCCATCGACAAAGAAGAGCTGGGAATTAGAGGAACTTAATGACCAACAGAAAATGACAAATAGAATTATCATAAAAAGGGGTTCCACTCGTATTTTTCCGGAACCCTCCACTTCTCGAAGAGCAGCACTATTCTTAATTCTGTTTTTAGTGTACGAACTTTACATCGCGGTAGAGGCGAAGTCAACAGCCAGAATGAATGCGTTAAAGAATGTCACTCTCGTGAGTAAAACAGGCAGATATCTCACCATTGGCAAACAGGGAATAACGGCACAGTATTCAAACAGCCCTTACGGTAAGAATATTTCAGAGATAGGAATATATAGAAATAAGGTAATCCAACGTGTGTTCATTATTAAGCTTATAGGTTTTCTATTTTTGTATTTATAAAAGCTTTTAGTTTGAGCTGTCAAATGACACCTTTATCGAATCATTGCGATAAAAAAATGACCAAATAAGATCTGATTTAAAGTAGTAGGTGGAATCGCATTTACCAAACTAATGTTCTTCAAATTTTAGAATATTTGCAAAATGCTTCTTGAGTCTGCAAAATTCCAGTTTTGTAAGATATTCTAACCGCGCCCCATTTCGGTGCAAAATATATGCGAGCATGGAAATTTACCAAAACTTCATGGTTACACATGCGTTGCGCCATCTTTATTCAAGCGACTTAAATTTGAATCCCAGCCAAATGAGAGACCATTAGGGGGGTAGAAAAAAATTTTCAGGACATAAAAATTTTTTCAGGACATAAAAAAGGGTCAAAAAAATTTTAGGTTTAGAAAATTCTTTCTCACACCATTACTTATATCAAAAAATGTTTTATTTTCCAAATTTGGGGGCCACCATTACACAACTTATAATTTTCCCTATTCAAAAGTCTCTGCACGAATTTTTTTTTAAACTTTTTTTCGTGCTCGAATTTTTTTTTCTGTTTCCCCTGCTCGATTTTTATTTTTGCTTTTGCCCCC